GAGGGCTTTCAAGAACATCGAGACGAAGCGGCCCCTGCCCTCGAGGCCGTCTGTGGCGTCTGGGAAACCTGCATGAGCCGGGACCCAAGAAAGGTGGCTCGGGCAAGTGTGACTGCCAAGACGTTTGCCATGATTTTCAACAGTTTTGTCGACGAATTTAGTTACAAGAGCATGGTGAGTTCGAGTCTCTTTTCCTGGCTGATTGACACCAGTCAATCGAACACTGAAGTCAAGAAAACCCAAATCGCTCACCATCCCAACGATAGATCTTCACAGCCATCATCATCTTCGGCGGCTTCAACCTCTCCAACTGGGCCTTTGGCTGGCTACGCTCCTCGTCTTCCTCTGCGGCCCCCAAACATCCCCTCGACTACGAATACGACTACCCACCCCAAACCCCGCATCGCGCCCCCTCGCACACCTACACCCCGTACCAACAACAACAACAACAACAACAGCAGCAGCAACAACGTCTCCATCACGACGCCCAGTTCCAACGCGAATTGCAGAATGCAGAGAATTGGGGTGGGAATTGGAGTGCGTTGCCGCGATATGCGGAGGATGGGCAAGGCCAGGGCCAGGGACTGGGTGTCGTCGGCAGGGCGGGCGGAGAGTATAGTCGTGATGCTCCGGTCATGGCGCGGCTGATTGAACAGGGTCAGGGTCGGGCTCAGGCTCCTCCGCCTTTGGTGCACAGTGTCAGTGCGCCCGGGGTGGCGATGACCTCTTCGGGCGTTGGGGTCGAGGAAAGTGTGGGTGCGCGGGCGAGTAAATCGGCGAGAAAGAGGGGGTTGTTTCGATGAGTGTTTGGTTGGTCAGGCAAGGGTAGGGTAGGATATGTTGTCGTCTAGCTTTTGTTCCGCCAACCTTGACTTTATATTCTCATTCTTTTCGTTTTCTTTTCGTTTTCTTTTCGTTTTCTTTTCGTTTTCACTTCACTTCTTCTTTTCTTCTTTTCTTCGTTCTCTCCTTCTTGTCATTTTTCATCTTTAGGGGGATCTTGTTGGCGTGCTTTAGGGTGTTGGGAATCGGAAATTTGGCACTCATGCGCTGTGGAGTTGGAGTGTAGGTACATGTACATGGATCAAGGTTTGGGGGATTAGCATTGGCAATTGGCATTCAATCCAAGGAGGACTGGAGCACAACTATGAGTTCCATTTTCTCGCATGCTTCGACTTGATTTCTTCAACCTTCTTCAACCTGTAAACCCGAGTACACGGCTGTACTGCATTGGCCACACATGAAGAGAACACCCCCGGCTTTCAAAACAATACACAAACATGCATCAATTCCCTTTCCCCGTCATCCTCTCATCAATGGATATCAAGTCCCCCACCCCTTCTACTCCATCTATCATCTACCATGATCCCCTATGCCAAGCACAAAATAAAACAAACGCAGGCCTGAATACAGCAATATCATTACATCTCCCTGCCCCGACACCCAAAACAAACCCCCTTGCCGCCTATCCCCACACATCATAACCAACCATCCTACGCAGCAACCTTGTCCTCCTTGCCGCCCTCCTCATACTTGTCCCAATTCGCCAAAATATTACCAATCTTGGGTGAGTTGGTAAGCTTGTACACATCCTCAAAGTACTCCTTTGTCAATGCAAACGGCTTGGCGGTAACATTGGGAATGTATTTGCCAACCAACTTGCTCGGGTCAATGCTCGTCTTGTGGATCTTCTTGAGCAGGAAGCTGCGGAAGGGCTTGACGCCACTGCGCAAAAATGTAGAGTGGAAGGGAACGTCGATGCCCTTGAGTGGAATCGTTGCGAAGCCGCGTTGCAGGTCCAGAGGCTTGGGCTTGGCTTCCGTCTGCTCGGCGCAGCCCTTGATGATTTCTTGCAGGTGTGCCTTGACGTCTTCGAGCGACATGGACTGCATGAGGGCTTGAATGTCAATCTTTTGCTGCTTGAGGTAGTTTGTCACGCCCGTCAGACAGTCGAGGGCGCGGAGGTCACCGGCGGCCACGTATTGCATATTCGCAATGTTGTAGTTGACAATCTCCAGGAGCCATCCAGTAGTCTCTGCAATGTTCTCGACCACGTATTGGAGAGCTTGCTCGTTGAACGTCTTTGAGATGCGGCTGGGGTTGACGGCGCACATGGAGTAGTTGGATCGACCAGTCTCGTCGCGCTCGACAGCAACTTGCATCGTGAGACCACGGTAGAACACGACAGACACCAAGCTCTCGATTGGCATGACCTCAGCCAGCGCAGCAAGGGCAGAGTACTCGCCGAGAGAGTGTCCGGCAAAGGTGCTGTCCGCTTGCACAAGACCTTTGGCACGCATATCCTCAAACGAAGCCTTCTCCATGAGTGTAAGGGCAGGTTGCGTGAATTGCGTAGCTGACAAAAGACCAGTCGGTGATCGATAAGTGTACGATGTCGTGTTCTCATCAATTTCCTTGAAAATCTTCTCGGACTTGATGGTACCATCGGCACTAACCGTCTCAAAGGTCATGGACATGTAGTTTTGGCGAATTGCCTTGCCAACAGGCCCACCAAAGTGAATGGTCAATTCCTTGGGGTTGTTCTTTACGATATTGGTAATAGCAAAACCTGGTGCTCGTTAGTTACTGGTTCTTGTCGCGTCTCCCATGATGCATACCATAATTGTCCATGAAGTGCTTGTCAGCACGGTCCCAAACCTCCTTCGCCACAGGGCTACTGTTGTACAGTTCCATACCCATGCCCTGCTCTTGCGAACCTTGACCGGTGAAGACATACGAGGTTGTTGGTTGCTCCACCTCAGCCTCACCAAGCAGTACCTTGTCTTCAGTCTCTCGGTTGCTGACCTCGATCTTGATGATCTTGCGACCAGACACCATACCGACATGCTGAAGCTTGACGTCGAGCAGGTCATCTGGAAGCACCATACCGACGAGGTTGACGTGGTAGCTCCTCACACGGCCGACATTGTTCTCTGCGGCCCATGTCTCGACCAAACTCCGGACTGCAGCACTCGAGTACATGCCGTGCGTGATGGTACCTGGCAGGTTGGCGTAGCTGGCAAAAATGCGCGAAACGTGGATTGGGTTGTAATCGCCAGAGACGCGGGCATAGTTGTCGTTCGAGGCAGGCGCTTTGAGGCTCAGAGGAGTCCTTCCATGCAGAGGAATGGGGTTCTCGAAGAGCACTGGCTGATCAACAGCAGATCCATTGCGCTCCAAGTAGTCAACCACAGGATTGCCATAGGCGGTGCCGGATCGGTAGTCCACAGAAGCAATCTGAATGACTTCCTTGGTAGGAAGCTCAAGTAGAACTTCTCCCATGGTTTCAATGTCGGAGAATACCGTCTTGTTCTTGTAACGAACAATGGTCTCGAGCTTGAATAACAGCGTCTTGTTCAGGAGATCAATCTCGGGCTCCTCAAAGTTGAACCACTCCTTCGACCGAAGAATGGCGACGTCTTTGCTAGTGGCCAGGTGCAGCTGAATGAGCTTTTCATTCTTGCGTTGGAAGGTGTTGTGGAAGTCGTCGTAAGCACCGCGATAGAGGAACTGGCTGGTAACCTCCATCACTGGCTCACCATCTCGCGTGATGGTACCACACACCTCCACCATCTTTCCAGAGTCCTGATTGATGACGGCATTAATCTTCGCATTCGTGTCGACGACATCACCCTTCTTGAGAGGCTCTGCACCGGCAATCATACGGAAGCCGTTGGAAAGATGGACCAGCTTGAGCAGGTCACCGTCAATCGCACGTGGGAAGATGGGCTTGGTAATGGCCTTCCAGCCGACAACGATGGCAAAGTCCATGGGTGCGTACACTTCCTTGCCAGGCCGGTCGACGAAAGCCTCACCAGTGTTGCCAACCGCGTGGACAAAGTCATGGATCGCCTCGCCAGTGACGGTTGCGCGACCGCCATCAAAGGTTGAGCTGACTGGAGCGTCAAAAGGACATTGCTCGTTGCCAAACCAGATTTTGTAATAAAAGTCTTTGATACGGTCATTACGAGCCTCCATGACTTCGTGGATAGGCGCATATCCAACATCAGGGCGGTATGTGAATCTGAAAGGTAACGCAACGGTTGAGCCGAGAGCAGTGCGCTCCTCGTACAGGTTAAGCAAGATCTCATTGTCACCGGTAAGGCTGACATCAGCGGTCTTGATCAGCTTGCCGCCGTGATGCAACTCCTTGACAATGATGCAGGTCTTTGCGGGCTCAGCAGGATTTTGGATCTCGATGAGCATACCAGGAGTCGGAGCGAAGATCCTGGAAGACGGATTCGTCTGGAAACGCTGTCCTTGGACAAAGATGTCTGCGGTGAAGAAGGCATGTCTCCAGGAGTAGCTGGTTCCCGCAAGGAGTTGTAGCCAAGCGTGGCTCTCGGGCATCTGAGCATTGGGTGCAGCGGAAAGACGGTAGATGATTCTGTTCTCGAGCTCCGAGATACCAAGACCATCCACTTCCAGTCCTTCTGGCGGCGCCAACAAGTTGCTGCCAAAGTATTCAATCACAGGCACCTTGGCCTCATCATTGCCGTAAATGTCGCGCAAAAGGAACTTTATGTGGCCTTCATGCACGCCGTCAAGGATTTCCTTGATCGGTTCATCCACCTTGGTGGAGTACTTGACAGCCATAGGTCCTTGCAAGATACATGTCCTGCCAACGTCCTGATCAACGACAGCATCGAGGTCTTCAGACTGCCACAGGGAATCCTTCTTGAAGAAGAACTCAAAGGTATCGTCGAGGACCGGGACGAAGGGTACCGGCTTCTGTCCACGCCGTTGGCAGAGAAGCAAGAAGTGCTGGACATCTTGAGCGTTGATGAGCTGCTTGTCGGCCTCGGGATAGGTCTTGGAGACCTGCTCAAGCATCGGGAATGGGTCGTTCAGCTCTTCATAGTTTTGAATAAGCGATTCGGTGTCTGATTTGCTGAAACGCTCTTCCAGTCGTCGAATGAAGTCGCCCGTCAAGCGCTTCAGACTCTGATCAATCCAGCGGGACTGATGCTTGACGTACATGAGATCTACCATGCGCTGGAAGACCTCGATATAGGTCATGTCTTCGAGATCAACAGATTCGCCCTTCTTGTTCCTGCCAAACCAAACCTTTTGGAAATCCTTGTTCAACTTCTCGATGATGTATTCGCGCATCTTCTTCAGCTCGGGTACACGCTTGGCCTTGTCAAGACTGAAAATCTTCTGGTCCATCTCGTGCCAAAAGATGACACCGCGCGTGGCGAGCTTGTGAATAGGCTCACCCATTTCGGAGCGGACGGTGATGACACCGCCAGCAGGGCCTTTGTAGGTCTTCTCCCATTCACTGTCGTCGAGACCTGGGGCATCGACGATGGCTTGTTTAGCCATCTTGGACGTTTTTGCCTCTTTGGCCGTCATGACGCGACTGCCGAACAAGCAGCCATCATAGGGCATGGGTGGATAGCCAAAACCAGTAGACCATTTACCAGTCAGGTAAGGGTAGGTGTCTTCTGCGCCACCGAATCCAGATCCTGCCACGAGGATGAGATTGTCGCACTTGCGAATGCGGCTGTACATTTGCAGGATAGGCTGATGGAAGTCTTCAAAGGAATGATGACCGCCGCCACGACCTCCCGTCCATTGTAGCACCACTGGGAAAGTTGGATTTGCCTTTGCGATGTTGATAGTCTGTTGAATGGCTTCGACGGACCCTGGCTTGAAAGCAATGTGCTTGATACCGAGCGTCTCAATGTACTCATTGGCTACCTCGATCGAGGGTACACCAGCACCGATGGTCAGTCCTTCGATGGGCACACCTTCCGACCTTAGCTTGGCCAGTAGCGGAATTTGCCAGCCCATGGCGCGGGGATTGACGTAGATCAGGTTGATGGAGATGCCACGCCCAGCAGGAATGGCCTTTTCGACCTTTGTAATGGCTTCCGTCATTGTTTTTTCGTTGTAGTAACCGCCACCAGCAAGCTCAATCTCGTAGCCAGCGTTCATGGTAGCGGCCACGAAATCCCAAGGCACCGTGCAAGGCGTCATACCAGCAACCATGATCGGAGGAAGACCCAGCATACGGCTCATCTTGGTATCCACATACGTCTGCCCGGTCGAGGTCTTGACGAGACGAGGACCGTGCTCTTTGACCCAGTCGACGGCGTACTTGACAGCATGTTCGGAATCACGATCAAAAATCTCCGGCTTGTACCCAACTTCTGCATTCTGACCCTCAATGGCTCCGGCGAGAATAACGCGAACACCAGTTCCATCCTTATTGCGATTCGTCAGAACACCTAAGCCCGAGATACCACCAGGACCGAAATCGAGGATGTGGGTGGCCTTGGGAAATACCGTAGCCTTTTCCCATTCCACCGAGTCGGATGTGATCATGGCGACAATCCTCGGAACAATGTTGTCGGATGCTTGTTCGCGAAGATCTTGGCCCGTGTGCGTGTCGTACAGAGGTATACCAAGATCACTCGAGGCAATCTTGATATTCTTGAGATCATCCTCTAGTTGCCTTGTAGCGTCTGCAAGGTACGGACTGTGAAAGGGAGCGGTGATGGGTAGGAAGCGGTTGACGAAGCGCACCTTGCGCTCGGTGAAGGGGATCTTTGTCTGGTCGAGACCGGTCGGGGCCTTGACCTTTCGTAGCCGGAGATTCAGGCCATACAACGAAATGGGGGGCCCTGTGACAACAAAATTGCGCGCGCTGTTGACCAGCGATATGGCAATGTGTCGGTCTTTGGGTAAATGAGAATTGGTCGCATCAATGTGGTCCTCGACTGCTTTCCGGGAAAGGTCTCGAATGGACAACATGGGAGTGGGTATGCCCTCGCCATTGTCAATCGAGTCTTGCAGCACGGTGGGAGCAAGCGATGTCCTTGGGAACGCTTGCTGGCTGCGGCTACCGATCCAGAAGAGGATCTCCATGGCTTTCTTGGCCGACTTCTCGAAAGTCTCCCAGTTCTTCGCTTCGGCGATGGCAGCAGCGGTGACGACACCTTGTGAATGGCCCGTGACACCTGAGAAGCGGGCGCGGACATGGCCAGGATGGCTTCCAAAGACTCTGCAGGTAACGACATAGTGGGCCAACTGCGTCAACCCAATCAAGGGCAAACTGACTGGTGCCGAAACTAGGTAATCGGTATCTGGCTGCGCCTCCCGGTTGTTCAACCAGCGCATGACATCGAGACCCTTGGAGTAGAGCTTCTCAGCTCGCGGGTCTCGTGCGAGAGTCAAGAGATGAGCGGCTTCGGCTGAGATGAAATCTTCGACAAAGGACGGGTATGTGGTGTAAATCTCGCGAAGTTCGTCAAAGTACTCTTCAATGTTCCCCTGCCCGCCCAGGACGGCATAGATGAAGGCATTCTCGTCTGCGGCTTCGCGGAAGAGGGCAGACTCGTGATGCTTGATGGGCCTGTCGACGGCAGCACGGGCAGCATAGTAGGACCGGACCGTGACGAGCTTCTTCTCTGTGATGCCAGGAAGCGAGGCAGCCAGTGCGTGCACCTCGTTGCCGCGGAGGAAAGCGCGCTCAAACTCGGTGAGGACGAGCTTGAGGACCTCTTCAAACGAGTCTGGGTCCTCGCCCTCGTCTACCTCCTTGGCAACGAAGCCGAGGTATCGTGCGACCAATTCTGCTACTGACGATGGCTCGTCATCTTGGGCCAGTTCGTCTGTGGGCTCCGGCAGAGTCGACTTGAATGTGTCTCGCAGTTGTTGGGCATTGAAGTGGAGGGCCGTGGGGATGAGTAGGGTGTACTCGAGGGAGCCGTGGGAGAGGATGAGGGGGCGTAGGTTGGCAGCGGAGCGGGGCGTTGAGATGCCCGTCTGCTGACCAGAACCGTACATGTCGAGTGACTTGGAGCGTGTGCGTGTGATGGCAAGCGTGAGGGGCCTCGGGGGAGAATTGGCTGTTGTTTTGGACATGGTGAGCGTGGTTCATCAATGAGCAATGAGGGGTAGGGTGGACAGGTAGGGAGGGGTTTGGAGAGGGGGCAATTGAAGCAGGATGAGGGATTGCCTGCCAATGCGTGGTGCAGAGAGAAGAGTGGATAGATTGTGAAGAAGGGGCACCTACTTTATTACAGAGTGGCTTGGTCAATGGGGTCAGGCAGTCCAGATATCCAATGAGGGCGGCCAAGGAGGGGGAAGGTGCGTCTTGGAAGAATGGTCAGTCAACTTCCGTCTGGAGTGGCGGGGAAGGCAGGATCAAGGTGTGAAAGGGAAAGAGCGACCTTGACGAGCTCGGCCAGTGACTCTTTGCCCATTCCATCTGGATCCTCGCAGCAACCCAATGTGTCCAAGCGTACCTAGGAGGTCAGACAGAAGTGAATCTGGCTGATTGGCGCGGGGCGTCGTCTGTACTGCTTGTAGTGGTGGTGGTGATGGCAGGGCCCTCACGGTATGTGTATGTGTATGTGTGTGTGTGTGTGTGTGTGTGTGTGTGTATGTGTGTGTGTAGAGAGAGGTGAGGTGCAGTGGAGAACTTGGACGACCACAAGGAGGCAGCAGGCGTGCGAGAGGGTGGGTATATATTGGAATTTTGTTCAGAGAAAGAGGAGGGGGGAGGAGAGGAGAGGGGAGAGGGTGAAGGAAGAGGCACGGGAAGCGACAATGATCTAGGGTAGGTATCGTCGCCTTTGTGGAGGACA